CAATTTTGTCAGGGTTTTACTCACTGGAGTGAGACGACCACTTGATGGTGATTTCTTCTTGGCCGACTTCATCACCTTGGTGAGCGGGGTCTTGATTTGCGTCTTCTTATTTGTCAGGATAGGTGTACGCCCACTCTTCTTCCTTGCCTTCGATCTCGTCATCCTTTCGTTTAGCTCGACGGGCTTGATGCCGCACTTTCGTGGAGTTCTCTTGGGGGGTAACTTCATTGGTGGGTTATCCTCAAATACAGCGTCATCTTCCCTTTTACGTTTCTCATTAATGCATAGTTGTCATGTATTCTCGCTCAACTTCTGCGTGAGGCTAGTCTCACTCCCTTCATCACTGTAGTCCGACGACACATCCTTGTTCAAGGCGTACTCAACTTTTTTTTCCCCTTTACATCTTTCGCTCCAGCTAATAGCGTTGGCATCACCGATGTCTTCCACTTGTTAATCCAATCATCCTTAATCTCGCTCATCATCATCGCCTCGTGTAGGGTCACATCTTTCTCCATTTTTGCCCTTAAAACAACTTCCTGCTTGGCTTTCTCCTGCTTCTTCCGCTTCTTCGCTTCTCATTGTGTTTCTTCATCGGCTCTCCGAGCTTCCTCTTCCTTCATCATGCGCCCATATCTTCTCCAACTTGAAGTTCTTTCTGGCTTTCTCTTCTTTCTCAGTCTTTTCGGCGTCGAGATGCTCCTTTATAGTGGCAAACCCTTGGGATAGTTCAAACAGTTTTTCGCACAGCTCGGCTTCCTTCCTCGGTGGCGAGTAGTATCTTCTTGATTCATATCTTCGAGGAGATCTCGACCTCCTAAAATCACTCGAGGTTGATGGTCGGCTCGAAAGGTGCTGCCTGTCTCGATTCAGGTACTGATTAGCATAGTGTCCGGGTTGATAACAATTAAACCAGGTAGATATCTTGTATGGTCTGCGGTCGCCACCGACAGACTCCCTGTTGTCATCTCGTCGATCAGAACTCGACATCGCAGCTGACCCAGGTGCTCGATACCCGTACGTAATCCCGGTCTTCCGCACTCCATCTCGTCCGAAACTCTCTACAAGCTTTTCATCTTGAAATCTTCCGACATCATAACAAAACACGTAGTGAATAGTAACAATAGCCAGACAGAACACGCTCACTTCAACCTGGTAAGCTTCCCCAGGTAAGTTTACATGTGCGGTGATGAGTTGTGAGTGTACAACACTTCAACATACACAGTCACCGTAACGGCAAATAAACAAGTATATAACAAAATTACAACATTCCACTCAATTCAAACCAACAGTCCCAAGAATGAACCTCGATCCACAAACCACCCACGGCGGCAGTCTACAGTCGTCACGATAGACTATTCGACCGCGGAACCTGAGAGGTTGAACTAAGTCTACGTCTACCTATTAATAGTTCGGATCGGAACATGATTCGGTCTAACTGCCTTATTAAAGCTCGGTGACCCATTCTAGGTACTGAAAAAATGGACTACTAGAAGCCAAGTACTCCTGTCAGAAAGGTCCCGAGAGACCCCATCGTTCTGTACTTTCTGAAAACCAGGCCTGCACAAAAGTTAAAAGGCTAAAAACTAAAAAGGGTTATTCTAGGTCCAATAGGCAGACATGTACACACAAATCCAAAAGTGACCAAAACCAATCCAAGCTAAACACCCCGTTCGAATCCGATTGATAGCCTAGTTATTTTATCAATAATTATGACACTTGTAAATCATTGTTACTCCTATTCATATTTTTATTTGTAGATATGATATGTAATTATAGACAATGAGATAAGTTTTTTATCGAAATGGCAAAAAAATAAATAACTTGAATTGCATGTATTATCAGGGGTTTTCATATTTTCGCTTGAACAAAATCCTTAGGATTCTAAGTGTATGAACAAGATTCTTTGCGAAGTAAAAAACAAAACAAAAAAAAGAATAAAAAAATATTTTTTCATAACCACTAAAAGTGGCGAGGAAAAAAAAAGGTTTTTCCATAGCAAATCATTACTAGGCAAAACACCATATATTTAAGAATTGAAATATTCATATTTTAATGATATCAAAAGACCGTGTGTATAGTCCTATAAGTTATGTATCAGGACGAACATGTTCGAGGGTTTCGGGAACATGCGAACGTGTTATCGTATTTACGAATACGTTCGTGAGAACATATTCTTTCATCTGTGAGCAAACTTTTTTTTTTTAATTTTTTTTTTAAATTTTTTAATTTTTCGTTTCCGTTTGACTAAGAATTTGAAGATATGTCAGAGACAAAAGTTGCTTGTGTTAATTTTTTATGTAACATACATTTTTTGACAAGGATTTTATTGTTAACTTCAAAACTGTTAAAAACGACATATAATCCTATATGTCAAAATTCACTAAAACTGTTTGTTTATAACTTTCGAGTTTGTTTTATTGAAGTTTTTTTTTTTTGTCAGTCTATTGAGAATGACTTATAGTCCTATAACACGATTTTTGCAAGAAAAAATTTTCCTTCATATTTTGAGGATCGCTTGACTCAATTGACTGTTGTCCCGGTTTTTTGCCTCGTTTATGGAGAAGTGGTTGAAAATTATTTTTTTTAATTAGAAATATAAGTTTGACTTCTACTTTTTCACTCTATACAAAATGTTGGGTTTTGTGGTTTTGTTGGGTTTTCATGAATCTTGTGTTTATGTGTTTATGATCGTGTGACTTCTCTACTACTACATTCACTCCGAGTTGTCAAACGACTGCAGGTTTTAGTGCACAACTTGATAGAGATTTTTTCTTCATGCATTCTCTCTCTCTCTCTCTCTCTCTCTCTCTCTCTCTCTCTCTCTCTCTCTCTCTCTCTCTCTCTCTCTCTCTCTCTCTCTGTGTGTATCTCCGAGGAATAACTTATTGATCATGTTATTTTTCTACAAGGAGGGTTGACGTCCACCTTCAGCCAACACCTTGTATACAGGTATCTGCACTCGGGGGTGTTGTGAGACGTCAGTTTCTATTAGCTGGTTACAAAGCTTTGCAAACAGTTCACTGAATTTGAATCTCTTGTTCGTTGCCCACACTTGCTTGTTTATCGATGGACTCAACCACTTGAAAATAATGACAAGTCTTAGAGGATAATGAGCCTTGTAGAGCCAATAGCAGTCCGGTCTGCAACCTGACAATGGCAGGCAGGGGGCAACGGTTATCGTTGGCTTTGTGCTGCCAAATGGTAGGCAAAGGGCAGCGGCCATGGTGGGTCGAGCAGTAGCGGCCAAGCAAGTGGAGCGTCCATGGTCGGGCAGGGATTGGTTGTGGCTGACCCTAACATGCGTATCAAAACCCCTCGCTGTTTCGAAAGTTTGTGTGGCGAAGGGGAGTTTTCTTTTGAAAGTACCCCTCTCGAATTTCGTCTTACCACTTTCGAAAAATGCCTCGTTTCAAAAGGTTGTGTAGTGAGCCCCTATAGCATATTGTAAATTTGAAAGCACGGGTTCAACTAAAAAAAAAAAAAAAAAAAAGCCCCTTGCACATTGCGACAGAAGGCCAAAGCCTGAACGCTTCACCGCCTTTGAAAATAAAATTGCCCAGTCTGCGGTAAATGCATTCAACGATTTCTCATAAGCGAATTTCAAAAGTAGCGAGAGAATTCTTTTCGAGGCGTTGGATTTTATCAAAACAAACACAGAGGGCCACATCACATTTGTTGAATGCATGAGCAAAGGCCCACCGTTGGGCTTCTGCGCTGACAAGGCTAACCAAAAGGAAAAAAGACAGTTTGTCAAGAAGAACAAAGATTGAGCTTCTGCACTAACGACCTGCTCTGGTTCCTGAATGGCTGCGCTTTCGTGCTTGCCCGGTACCAGTAGAACTTCCGGCAGCGAAAATGACCTTATGACCTTACACTCTATTCCGGGAGGAAGGTAACCAGTATGCAGCAATGATATTCGCCATTAGACACTGCTAATGTGGGTTTGGAGGAGGGTAGGGGGAGGTGCAAGTGACTCGCCAAAGATGCTCGGCACTAGCATCGCCAGTTTCCCCCATCGGCAATGCCTGATCACCCTGCATCATCGTGATGAGGGGCTGATACAAGCCTTGCTCTCGCACCACTATTGTGGTGCAAACCTACCCCGTGGGTTGGGGAGAGTTCCAGGTTTGGTTGGTGTTCCCCCGTACTATACATAGGGCCTCGCTGCACTACGCTAGACACATGAAAAGTTTCAAGAGCACGTCTAGCGCTGTCAGACTCCTGGATTGGCATCAAGTGCTGTCAGACTCCTGGATTGGCATCAAGTGCTGCCGTCGCTGCACTTAGGGCATACTCACACGGGGACCTATAATCCCCAAATCCCAAAAATAAGGGTAAAAGGCTGGTCACACGGATCTACCAAATTCGCAAATGTACTATTCCAGTGCCCATTTGTCAGCGGCCTGGGAAGCCGCGGGCCAAGGGATTTTGCGGTCACCTCTGTAGGTGACCGCAAATGCCCTTTTTCATTTGTTGCATTTTTCTTCGAAAATTGGCAAAAATTCGTTCACAAAAGTTCTTGCACAATTAGTGGATAGCGCCGTGTGACCAGCCACGTACCAAATCCCCATTTCTCCAGACGGCCACGACCTTGTCCCATCTGAAAAGGCACAGCAGTGTGACGTGAACCATGCCCAAAACCTCAAATCGGCCCTCCCCAAATTGCGGATTTGGGGTCGCCGTGCGAGTATGCCCTTACTCTGGACTCTCGACTCTGGACTCTCGACTCTCGTGAGCATTCTTGACCGTCGGACAGACACTACACGACAGGGCAGCGACGATTTGTCCAACGAGACTGGAGGCCAACTCTCAAATTTGCAAATTTGCAAACCGCATGGAAGCTTCAAGAGCTCGTCCGATGGGCCTTTGACCAAGAGCACTTCTCCACAGTTAGTGCAGGGATGACTCACTCTTGACGAGAGTGAATCTGACAGCTCTTGAATGGAAATTTAGGACGCCGCATCAGCCGTGATGAACTCTTGATTTCTCAAGATTCAAGAGTAGAGGCCCATGGAGTAGGGATAGGATGAGATAGAATATATACAAAAGAAGAAGATTGAGAGAAGAATATAGATTACTGCAAAAAACAAAATAAAAAAAATCAAGCAGCAATAAAGTGACACCCATTGGGGCCTCATCATTCATGACGAACTGGCGACCCAGCCTCAATGCACGTGACCGCAAATCCGTCCAAAGAAAAAGACAAGTGTTCAAAGTGCCGTTGTGAGTATAAGGGCCAGATCCCACTAGCCCCTATTCTTCATTTCTGACCGTTGATCTTCGTAATCGAGGGTGAGAAATGAATAATCCAGGGTACTGGGATCTGACCCTAAGGCCCTCCTGTTCCTTTTTCTTTTTTTTTCCCTTTTTTGTCCTTTTTCCATTTGTCGTGCTGTCTTTCCAGGCAGGCTCTTCCTATCCTAACCGGTAGGGTGGCAGCCGTGACGAATGTGCTACCGGTAGGAGAGCAATGTGCTACCGGTAGGAGAGCAATGTACTACCGGTAAGAGAGCAACCCAATCTGCTCTGCTCTGCTCGGGAGTTGCCGACCGGCTTCTGTCGGCCTCCATCTCATTTTACTCACCAAATGAGCAAAATGAGAGCGAATCTCCCCGTAGAACATGGTGAGATACACGGACATATTTTTGGTCTTTTTTGCATGTCGTGAGTGGTGGAGCAAGGCCACGGAGTGGGCCGACCGGGGCCCACTACCGGTAGCAACGTTGAGTTTCGTCAACGGCTGAATCTGGATGTACAAAAATGTCCTCAACCTCACCTGTCCGCAAACATGTCCACATTCAGATGTTGCGCTGCTAGTGGGACCCCCCCACCCTGCCACCCCCCCCCCCCCCCCCCCCGAATGGGGAGCACTGTACATGCACACACACATTGCTTCTGCAAGCTCGTCTGATGTGGGCGAAGCGGCAAGGAGAAAGGAGGTGAAGGAGAGGAGGCGGAGGAGGCGGAGGCGGAGGCGGAGGAAGAGGAGGGGGAGGCGGAGAAGGAGGAGGAGGGGTAGGAGGAGGGGACTTTTCCATAACAGTTACTCGTGATTATGTGTGTGTCACTGAGTGTGTTCTTTCAGTAAGGGGAGGAGGAGGGGGAGGAGGAGGAGAAGGGAATGCCATACTAGTAAAGCCCCGCCGCACCTTGGCCGATGATGCCTTCTTCATAGGGGGGGATCCACTAAATTAAATCACCTTTTGTGAGGGACGACGGGACGGGGGTTCCCGGTATTTGTAATAAAAAAGGGTAAGGAAAAAAATAAAAAAATAAAAATAAAAATAAAGACGTGTACCTTTCCATTTAGTTGATGTACATTCATTCTCATTTTGCACATTTGATGAGTGGTGCGGCGAGGTCCTTTCTCTTTTTTGGTTCCGGAAGGCGATGTTGAGGTGAAGGAGGTGGAGGGAGGGAGGGAGGGAGGAGGAGGAGGAGGAGGAGGAGGAGGAGGAGGAGGAGGAAGAAGACTAGAGGAGGAGGAGGAGGAGAAGGAGGAGGAGGAGGAGGAGGAGGAGAATGGGGAAGATAAGGAGAGGGAGGAAAAGGATGTGGAGGTGAAGAAGAAGCAGAAGAGAGAGGTGGAGAATGAAGAAGAAGGAGAAGAAGGAGAGGAGAAGAAGGGGGGGAAAGGAGGGGGAGGGATGCGCTTTCGGCCATTATAGCTGAGGCAGGCGCAGGTGCCCAGTGTGCCACTCCTCTTCCTTCTCTCTCTCTCTCTCTCTCTCTCTCTCTCTCTCTCTCTCTCTCTTTCTCTCTCTCTCTCTTTCTCTCTCTTTCTCTCTCTCTCTCTCTCTCTTTCTTTATCGCCGCGTCGCGCCGCGCCATGCTGCTGTCTTATCGTCCTTTTCACTGTCTTCGTGACGAATGAATNTCTCTCTCTCTCTCTCTCTCTTTCTTTATCGCCGCGTCGCGCCGCGCCATGCTGCTGTCTTATCGTCCTTTTCACTGTCTTCGTGACGAATGAATTTACGTTCAGTTCGGGTCTCGGTTCATCCAGTATTGCTACTGCTCGGCTCGACACGTGTGAAAAAGGCAAAGATTTGGGCGCTGAGTGTGTCTTTCCAACGTGTGGGTGAATTTACGACGAGTGCTATTGAACACATTGTGGTGAGTGTTGCATCGAGGCCCTTCACCATCTCCTCATCTCCTCCTCCTCCTCTCTCTCTCTCTCTCTCTCTCTCTCT